TAAAGCGCATGAGAGCCTGCTGTTGAGCGGGGATATGCGCTATACAAATGCTATTTATTATTATTATTATTACTATATCATCAACAAATTGAGAATCCAGAGACCACCTAGAGAGGCAGGTTTGACTATAGAGAACTTAGAGAAAACAGAACAATTGTTGTCAGTCACAACACGTCTATTGTCCAATCAACACTTGTTCAACTGTGTAAAAATTTCCTCTACCTAGACAACAACTAAAGCAAAGAGAGAAGTAACATTTAAAAATGGCCTTTTTCAGCTGATGAAATAACTATTTCTTACAAAATATCGCATTAAAACTAAAAATGACTTCATTATTTTGTTAAAAGTAAATTACAAAATGATTTATAATGTTCCCTCAAATCTCCATAAAATCTCTCTCTAAAAATATAAAGCTATAATTCCCATAGAGAAAGCCTTGGCAACATCAATTACACATGATGCTCTATTTATCGGTGTGACCTGCCATATATAGCTGCTTGACACAAGAACTAAAACAAAAACTATGACTGGGGAAGTAGTGTGTGCAAGACGCAAGAAGTGCCGGGTAGGCCTACTACACCTTATTTATAGTCCATTCTTTGAAATCCAAACACAGGTCACAGACAACCACAACACTAGGGCTCTGATTTACAATCAACTTAGACTGGACATAATAAATAACGCTTGAAGTTTCAGCTAGGGTTACTTAAGGGCAGTCGGAAATTCTTTAACGAGGCCATTCTTTAACTCTCTTCTCTTACGCCACACAACTACCATGCCATCATTCCATCCACAACCAACAATGCAAGTCCAATCGAGGCCGCCGTCGAGGGCTCTGATTTACCATGATCAGTGGACTGGAAATAATGCTTACTTTTTAAGCTAGGCCGGGGGTAACATAAGGCTTCAGATCTGAAATTATCTTAGATCTAACTACTACAACTACAACTAACTACCCCATACTACTATTCATGGAATTCGTTATCATCCATATGGTCATGGCATGGTTTTGGACAGAGAACAAAATAAAAGATCAAAACAACACACAAACACTCACGGTTTTCACCAGTCAATCCACACAGCAGACTAGGACCACGAGCTACCGGTGTGTCGCTTTGTGAATAATCCACAACTGTGCCGTTGGGACTGTCAACAAAGCGGGACAAAGTAGAGGAAGCCGAAGATGACACTGACTGATGAGGTTTTGTGGTAGAGCTAGTACCTTTCCTACTCCTTTCACTGACTACTGCGGACGGTGTCCGAACGATGCCTGGGTCCTGGACTTGACCTAGTAACGTTTCCTCTTCATGTTTGCCGGTCTCTGAAAGGTCTAGCATTGAGTCGTCACTGTCAGGGCTAGATCTACTTCTGTCAAACCCACTAGTCCGTAAAGAATGTGAAGGTCGTAATTCATTTCCGCTCTGAAGATTTTGTGTTGATCGACGATCCTCTGCCATTTTGTTACAACTATCAGCTGATCACATGACTTGCTGTGTTTTTATCACATGACTTGCGCGCAGAATTGAAACTGGGGCGGGATCTTTGAAGTGAAATAATTAATATTATTATTGCAATAATATCATTTTCTCGGCACAGCCAGTTCTTAATTCCTTGGACTCAAACTTAGAATATACACCTTCCCAACCATCCCACCAATAAAATACAAAGCATCTTTGACATGTGAAACGTCAATCTGTTCAACCATCTCCCTTTTGTGACAAGACCACAACCCTTGTTTCTCTCAATCAGTAAGTCACAGATGGATCTGTAGAACTTCAGATAGATCTAGGCCTAAATCTAGATCTAGATCTATATTATAATGTCTCTTTCTGCGTGATACTGTGGGTTTTTTAACTTAGATCTAAGTTTTGTTGATTTTGAAAATTATTTGCTAAGTTCAGAAAATTGTCTGATTTATCTGTTTCGTTTTCGTTCTTGGGCGTGTCTTCGTTTGGTTGTAATCACTGCACAACGAGCAAAGTCAAAGAGTGGAGGTAAGTATCTGAGAGAAATACCTATGCCTTTAACTGCTCTCCCC